TCTACAGCCTTGTTGATTTTGGTAATTCATATAAATATTAGGAGCGAAATTAGGTCTACTGAAGGACTGTTTTGAAATCTTCGCTGGCTTTTTTGGTTACCGAGTTAGCAATTTTCCCGCCAGAATTTTCACATGCTCGTACATGGGTACCCCACGTGCCTGGAAAGCTGAATTTGAAATTTTTAAATTGCGCGTGGACGGGAAACATCACCCTAAAATTTCAGCCCCCCAGCTTTTCTGGTTGCCGAGTTAGTAATTTTTCCCGCAGAAACGAATCCCCGATGAAGAGCATAATTTCTCGTTTATTTTGCCCATTTCCTACAGGCGAATTCTGATGAAATTCGCTTCCCAGGCAAAGGGTCTTTCGCCCCCTCCCAAGTATTACAGGCACCAGTGCTACAAAAGCTCCGATCTGTTCATAAATAAAACTAAAATAACTCCGAGTAGCAGTGTGTTACAACCATCTATTCCTAGTTTTTGCATAGTTCCAGAGTGGGACTGAGGGCTGTCTCTCTTCAAATCCCATGGCCCGCTCCAGGAATCTCACTCTCCCATACCCTCCGTTTTTTTTCGGCAGATGTTTTTAGCTAAAAGAATTGAGACTGGCCACCACAACTTTCAGAAAACATTCCCTTATTACTCCAGCTTTCTAGCTTTTCCGGTTCCCGAGTTAGCAGTTTACCCATCAAGAACTTTCATGGGCCCGTAATTGGGAACCACATATGGGACCCCAGAGTCCGTCCTGGATCGACCTATGCCTTCGGCGTTATCATTGTGACCTCCCACTTCATATTTTTCCCCCAAAAAAAAGTTCACATTCGTAAAAACGATTATCTCTTGCATTCGTTACGGCAGGCCCTTTTTGCGAACTGAAAGGATGGTCAATTGTTTTGTTTTGTTTCCACGTTTCAGGATGTTATAGAAATGGCCTGGCCATTATTCCGCACAGTCCCCTCTCGCGATGGCTACGCATACGAAGACAGCGTCCAGTGGATGATGATGATGTCTGATGCTGGCGAATTGCCAAAACCGAACTGTACGCACGGAGTGAAATGGATTATTGATGTGAGGCTGATTTTTCAGTTTTTATGCATTTTTTGCAGCAGTATATTTTTCTTCTATTCCAAATATCTTTTTTGGTTTTTTTGCAGGTTTTTGGGGATTGTGTGGATACAAATTTGAAATTGATCGGGTTCATTATCGGGTTTATATCATTGTTTCTATGGTTGCTGCCTCTGATCCCACAACTTGTGCAAAACTATCGAACCAAACGTTGTGATGGCCTTTCGATCTATTTCCTGTTCTTTTGGTATGCTTTTTTTGGATAAGAAAATACTACTTCGCTTACAATTTGTTGATCTTTTCGGTGATAAATTGATATAAACGGAAAACCAACAGCCCACTTACCACGCTTTTAGAAATTAAGCAACAAATTTGTATTTTTAAAAGGGGAAGCAGAAGCAAAAAGTCTGAAGAGGAAATGTTTCGGTCCATTAAAGTGGCAGATATTCTTTGGGCCTGTCAGGCCTCTTTATTTGTTGCTTTCCAGGATAATAGGCGATAGCTGTAATATGGCTGGCGCAATGCTAACGAACCAACAGCCAATTCAAAAAATTATCGGTGTTTATTATGTTATGCAGGTTTGTGTACCATCCCCGAAATCATTGTCTAGCGAGAATGATAGACTTTATCGATGGCTGAATAATCGGCTACGAGACCAGTCACAAACAAATAATTATTGGAAGGAAAATCTGCAGTCATTTTCTTTATTGTCAAAAAATGGCATATATTTTTCTTAAATTCGGCAATAAATTGAAATTTCGAACTTTTAAAAATTCGGATGTGAAGTTTCTTTTTTCAGGATTTAGTAATACTCAGCCAGTATTTTTATTACAATCGTATCTATCAGCGCCGATTAAGAGGTAATTCAATATTCTGTAAACAAGTAAGAAATATTTTTTCAAATCCCTTATAAAATGGCACATTCCTTTAACTGGAACGGACCTAGATATCTGATGTAGCGGAGGCAACGTAGGTTTTTCAATACAGGAAAAGCTTCATGGATTGCCGTTAGGAATGGAGAATTCCCTTTTTTTAGTTGAAAACTTAACTAGCGATACAGAATTTTTAAATTTTAAAGCTCCCCACATTTCGAGAATAAATTTTTTCAAATTTTTTCACATTAGAGCTATTGCACAGCAGCAATTCGTTTCGGTGGTCATGAAATTTTTTCACGATTATTTAATTTTGCGCTCAAACTTAATCATCAAATTTCAGCCCGAACGAGTCGATTTGTAAATCCAGTAGCGATAGTGCCGGGTGCATTTA